AGGACTGTGGAACAAATTGTAATCAAGATAATCGGAGACCACTTCAGTCTTCTGATCTTTCATTTGATTCATGCTCATAGCACTTTATAATTTGCACAGAAAGGTATTTTTGTTTTACATTGGCAGTGTACAATCTCTTGCTGAAAATGACACTATAAGTGCTATGAGAGTGAAACCAAAGAAATCAATGTGTAACAGATAAACAAGGAACTTAAATTCACTGTTGGACTAAGAGGAACCGCAGATTGATGTGATAATTATCTGTAGGTTAATTGAGTCTCATTTCCTTTTACTACGCACAATGGTTCGATATAAAGTTAAGTTTGAAAAAGTTACATTTAGGTTTCACTGTGCCTATATACCAAAGAAATAGGTTCATTCTTCTTAAATGTTGTCTGGGAGTCTTTCAGCCTGAAGTGCTGCTTCACAGCTTGTTTTGAATCATTACACACTGAAGACTGGGCTTAGACCTTATTGACTGCAGTGCGTCTGCCACTAACAAACATAACCTTTTACTGACACTGCTTTGGGCACCATGAGGCTGTGGTCTTTTACTTTTCTGTACTCAGGAATAATATTGCAGGGATATATTTGGGTTTTCCTGAACAAAGTTAGACTGAGCCTCTGTCAACCCTTCCTCTGTTCTCTGTAGAATGGCCTGAGGTTAGATGTATTAAAAGCCAACTGTATGCAACATTGCAGCAGTGTTTACCTCAGTCCACAGAGATCAAATCTTCCATAAACACACAGCTGCTTGTACTTTCACACATGTACCGACTGAATCCAGACTTTTTACATATTATCTGCAGCAGCTTGGTAGAATTCAATAATGGATCACATCACCAACAGACAGTGTCTTGTGGCTGCTTTGAGTTTCTGCCTCAAAAAACATAGTCTGTGCTCCCTCTCTACAACCACTGTCCAAAAAAAGGAAAATACCTGGTTCGTTCAACACATGAGAGGGAGAGACACATGGAAAAACCGACGAGTCTTAGTTTTAATGCTTTTTAACACGGACAACCCACAGTTTCAATCTTACGTTACTCGTCTCTTGGTATGAGGTGACGCAGCAGGCACAGCACATTTAACAGACATTAAATCTCTGCTCCAAGTCGTGTGGAGAAATTAAAAATGATGTAGGAGCCAGCTGAGTGAGTGGGTGATGCTCATTGATAAAACATCTGCCACAAGCTGGAGTCCCAACGCAGGTAGTGTAGGAGGAAAAATGTCAAATAAAAGCCATTTAGAGTACCGTGAAGAAGAAATCCACATCCCTCAAGGGGCCATATTGATTCCAGAGCCAGCCAGTCGAGTCATAAATGTTCCTTTTTGGCTATGTGCGCAAACATTTGTTTTTATCAGTAAAGAGCACATTGCAATATCGATGGCTTTTCCTCCCCACATTCTGGCACTAACTGAATCGGACTGAGAGTTTGAAACAACTTTACATCCCTCTATAATTGATGTTGGCTCGAATGTGCATCAAATGTTGTTCCAACTAGATAACAACACCAATATCAGTTGACCTTTTATTTTTCTGTTGCGATAATGTCTTCCAACTTATAGAAAAGCATTTTATCACAGTGTGATTTTTAGAGGCTCCATCTTAGTTATTTATCTCCAAATCCTAACCAGGCTTATCCAGTAATGGAATATATGATAAGCACAGTAGTACTGCGGATATCCCGCCCTGGGAATTATAAAACACTTAGCACAAAAAACAAATTAGGCAAAGGAAAATGTAATCAAATTATCAAGTTCATAAATTAGTTTTATGTCAGGGATAAATGATGAAATCATTACTTGCTTTCACCCAGCCTTCCTCAATATTTTGCTGTCTTGCTGTTTAAAAACTTCTTTAAGTTACAAACACTTTCTTCATCTTGCTTTAGAGTGGATCGATCAATGTCTGTGGGAGAGGTGCTTATATATATATTTTGACGGATTTAGTAAATGTGATGAGAGTTGAAAATAAACAGTATTTATTTCATTTGACAAAAATAAAAAATAAATTAATTTCTGTCACTTTCTCTGTTCGTACACCCCCAAAACATAGACGTTTAGTGATGTTGGTGAAGTGCCACTGTTACACAAGAAGTCACAATCCATGTAATGATTACATTGGTTTCTGACTCATCACTGTAAAATGTTTGGCTGTAAAATTACAGTAAATTACTGGCTACTAGTTGCATGGATTTCACAGTAATTGACTGTAAATATTTCACAGTAATTGACTGTAAATATTTCACAGTAATTTACTGTAGATATTTTAGAGCTAATTAGAATAAAAGTACAACTAAATACTGTGACTTTACAGTTGCCATGCCCATGGAATTACTGTGATATAGCAGTACAGAGCTGTGGTATTATGGTACCTTGCTGTACATAAATTACAGTAATTACCTGTATTTTCACACATTTACTGTAGAAGTAATGCAACACAGTAGCCAGGAGAGACATCAGACATTGAGATCAGCTCAGTGGATATGACAAAAATAAAACAGACCTGATCAAAGTGCAAGCAATCTGCCTTTTCCTCCTGGTGTCGTGCCATCCTGTCACAGGAGATCTGCACGCAGCTCATCACAAAAGATGAAGACAAAAAATGACTGCTGTGAGGATTACCAAAACTACAAAGCAGAGCAATATCATATTTTAGGGCAGAGCCAAACACATTCATTTACCCTATCTTTTCTGACAGTAAAAAGCACACACTTTAAATGAAATAAAAAAGAATGATTATCAAATAGACCTTACACAAATTCATTTGGTCACAACAGCATGAGGTTCACTTGTTAAACATGTACTGACAAAAGCCTATGTAAAACGTTCACAACACCATGTGGTGTTTACTGAAGATTTACAAGGCAGTCTACACATGATCAATGCCAGCATTACTCTGTACTATAATAAATCCCTGTCTTCGGAGTGTTTTGGCAACACAATGTGAACTAAACGTCAGCTGCAGCACCTCCTACCAGATTACATAGAACCAAGAAGCTCAGAGCTGCTGAAGGTGTCTCCAAGTTTAGATTATGAAAGATAGAATATAAAAGATGAATGTTGTTTTATAGTATTAAACATGTACCCACACTAAACTTTGTAAGTGCTTACTCAAAAGTCAATAGACAGAAAATGTGTTTAATAGGTATACTATCTGTTTTATATTCAATTCCTAATTTTAGTAATTTATTTTTATTCTTGATATATTCATTTGTTATAAATAAACGTGCTTTAGCTCTATTTCTTAAGGTTTAGATCTCTTGCTTCCAGTACATTCTTTATTTTGGGTGAAAGACTGATATTTGGACAAAACAAGAAATGTAAAGATCTTTTCAACTATTTTCTGAATTTGTATACATCATTTTAAAACCAAAAATATTTGACAGATTGATTCCTCGATAATAATACAAATCAATGAAAGAAAACGAACTAAAACAATGTATACAATAACATGTCTGTAGATATTTATTTTATAGGAATATTGGTTTAAGCTCGGGTCTTGGTCCTGGAAACAAAATACAAATTAATGATGACATTTACTTTTGTGACTTTTGTAACAAAAAAACTGAAGTGAATCGAACAGGCAAGCAGATTTTTTACAAAAAAAGCTCTTCACTAAACCCTCACTGTGAACAGGATAAAAGAAGCCAATAACTGCCAGCTTTTTCACAAACGACCATGGCACAACAATATGTCGTTTAAAGATTTAATGGAATTTCAGGAGGCATTGGATGTTGAGGACTGATGGATGTGAGCTGAAAGAGGAAGAGGGATGTCGTCTGGTACGGAGGATGTTCTGAAGTACAGGCAGAGCGAGACTCATAGTGGGTGTTCAATCTCAGGTGTGTTTTTGCCATATCTGAACACAAGGCCTGATACGATGTGTGGAATGAGACGTGGGAGAGGTGCACTACATCAAATGGGGAAGGAATGGGGGAGAAGGTAAGAGAGGATGAAGGGATGTGGGCATGAAGTAGGAAGGTTAAATGGAAAAGATAGTGAGGGTGGCTTGAGAATTATGAGACAAACGAGGCCAATTGTGTTGACAGGGTATAAGTGGGCTATACAGGTGATCAGAGGTGTAGTTGGGCCCCACACTCAAATGAATTAATTTGTCCCATGTACCAGATGGAAAACTAGGTCTGAGAAAGAGCTAAATTGTTATTCATTATGTAAAACACCAAACTCAAACCAGGGGAAGCCACTCACAGTAATCAGCACAACTATGTGTGTCAGACTTGAGAGCTTAATTAACTCTGCAAAGAAGAGGTGTCTGCCTCACGACTACTTAACACATTTCAATGAAATTCCCTCTGGAGGATATAATGGGCCAAAATAGAACGTGTTATTTTTTTGTGTGAAATTATTTTGAATGGCTTTAACTCCTTGGTCATGAGCAAGTATTCGCAAATATATTTTTGAGGGTCTGTTGCTCCAACCTGACAAAATGGGAAACCCAACCCTTAGGTTTCATCAATCAGCATATATGGTGATTTACTAACCAGAAGCCAATGTTAAATTATAAAGATAAATGCAATCTAAAAACTGCAAGCTGCTAGGGTTAAGAACAAATTATTCCAATGGCCAAAGTACTTTTTATTTTTAACTTAAATTGAAAACATTATGCAAATGTTGTTCTTGTGCTTTGGGAAAACATGTTGTTGATCTGGCCTTGAACATGTCCTTGTTCATGAGTCAGACATCTTTAACTATTCATGGTTGTACAGAGCAGGGATGGATGTGTTTTAGAAAGATCTGCAGTCATGTGAATCTGTATCTATATTTAATACAGATCTACACATTCTCTTATTATAAATAAAGTACTTGAAACAGCCTTGTTGAAGACATTCGCTGAGTGCTTTTAGTTTAATGAAATGCAGCCCATTGCTATTACCTTTGAAGCTTCTGGATTCTTGCTTTTTATCTTTTGTTGCCCATAACCTGCCTGGCCCTCAGATGTGAAACATTGATGATCAATATTTATAGAGAAAATCCAGTCAGTATTTGATTACTTTACTTTATTTATTACAGCATGACATGAATTACATAATACATCAAATGGCATATGGACTGTATTTATATAGCGCTTTATCCAGTCATTATGACCCCTCAAAGCGCAACTGCGTTGACTGCAACGGCTGGGATCTGACCCACAACCTTCCAATTGAAGGACAATCGCAGTACCTTGCAGCCACAGTTACCCCTCAAGAAAATCTGATGATATGGTTATTGAGCAATTCCAGTGTTGTATGGACCTACAGTAGTTCTTCAAGCATAAGACATTGCTGCAATATTGTTATTATGCATCCTGCTGCGAAAGAAAAATAAAATACCACTTGCTTGTTATGACCTTTTCCTGTATACATGTATGTGCTATGAAGATGCAAAGAGTGAGCAGAAAAAAGAGTAAGCAATACAACAATTCTGTACTAATTAATAACGCTGTAAAACGTACGCAACAATAATTATTTGTGTTGTTGCTAATCTGTTCCTGAGAAGTGATGCTTCAGCTTAATTATCAATATTGTTGTTGTTTTGCTGACTGCATTACCTTGTAATGTGATTTCTACAGCATTGAATTCCATCGTGCAGGTGTTTCTCTGCATTTTTTTTTTTCACAAATCAAAACAGGTGCAGAGGAACACCTGCACGGTGTAATTCGACCTTCACTCCGGCTGTATTCCTTTAGTACCAGGTCACTGCTTTTGTGCTGGCTGGCTCACAGACACAGTGTTTTGCACCTAAATGCAACAGTCATCATTAACTTTATTGATTACACTTTTCCAGCAGGTGAATTTCCAAAGAGAGTGGCCCATTTATCTTTCTACGACAAACATGTAGGTGTGCTGTCAGAGTCTTGTTTACCAATGTAGATGCCCATTTATCTTAGCACAGCAAACTATCGTGAGAGAAGGATGAAAGTATTATTTTATTTTAAAATACCTTGTGCACTGGAGGCTGGCTTGAAAAGTGGGCACACATTACTCTCACTCCAGAGTAAGAAAAACAAATTGCACACCAAACATTGCTTGTCAGAAAACACGAACAGTTTGAGACAAAAATATTGTTTCCTTGGCTTATTGCCTCTTATGCAATCATAATTTGCACCAGTCTGTGAACTGTATTTGGAAGGAAATTGGGTAAATAAAAAAGAAGATGGATGCGATGTGGAGATGTTTTGACCTGTCAAGTAAGATCAAATTGTTTCCAATGTATTTCCTCTTGCTTCCATAATATTGGAGCGCTGCTCTATGCACCTTTATGCTAAAATTGATCGGCATGTCTTTCGCCCTGAAACTTTAAGGTAATCCCCAAAAGCAGTCAAACAAATGCAATCATTCTGTGTCACTGACTTTGTTTCCAGATTTTTAAGTGGGTACAGAAAATCTGAGATGAGCTCTCCTAGATTCCACTTCATGAATACAGACTCCTTATGAACATAAATCTTAAATATACTTCTCTAACCAAACATTAGCACGGGGAATCAGAAACAAATTGTTAGGAAATGTCATGAAACGTCACCAAACTTGTGATATGTTTTGTTTAAATAACACAAAAGCATTTGAAGCAGTATTAATTTGTTTAATAAACAAGTCTTAGTTTAAACACATGGCAAGTAAACACATAAAATATATATCAAATGTATAAATATAAAGCATGATGCTTAACGTAGATCCTTTAAAAAAATATATACATTTCTTTCATTTAAGCTGCCACACTGTCCGACCTCTGCACGACTGTGGGACAATATTAAAATATAATAAGCTTGGTGTAAGCTTATACTGGTTTTCATATATTTTTCGTACATGTTTTTATACTGTAAGTGGTTGTCTCTCTGTGGTCATCGGTCATTTTGAATTATAATGCAAAATAAAGTTTCAGTGTCATACTTTCCGTTAATTTAAACTTTCCATAAATGACATGGAAAAACTGTTATCTTAAAACATTCAGTGTCGAAGTGTCCTAGTTTTCAAATTGCTATAAAGCGCCATTGCTTTTTTCCTCCACAGTGATGTCGGTCACACCATGAACCTGTGTGAGCTGCTTGCAGTCCAATGAAGCCAGTAATTTCCTCGGCCCGGGGAGTGGGGCTACGAAGTGCTCAGTCAGTGACACGGAGGCACGACTGCCAATATCTCTGAGGGAAGGACAGGAAATGACAGTGGCAATCACAAAAGAGAAAGATAGACAAGGTAGTTAAAGAATAGCTGAACACAATATAAAGGTACATTTTCCCTTCTTACCCGTAATGAATCTTTCGAGCGGTAAGGAGGCCCAGTCCTTCCACATGGAATATCACAGCTTTCAACACCTGTGTTAGTGGGTTTGTAAATGAAATCTCCACTGCCATCTTCTCTCCTACCACCGCTTTCCCGATGGGCTGTGTGGGCGAACAACAAAGCAATCAAATCAAATAAAACACCCTCTGGGGGGAAACTTTGGGGTTTGAGCCTTTGCAGACCATTTACATGCTCAAAAACCTTTATAACACACAACAGGAAAGGGAAAACCCCAAGCATAATAGGGCCCCTTTAATAATTAGTTTGGTTAGGTTACCTTCAGGATGAGGTCTGGGGTCCTGAGCCGGAAATTGAACTGTGTGGCCAGGACCTGCTGTGTTTCCTTGACCCTGCCGGTCAGCGTCAGCATCAGGGCGGCCTGGTCTACCAGTTGGTCCTTGTAGTCTTTATATTCCATGGTCCACTCCAAATGTTTTTCTGTAGACAGAAGTTGTTGGCAAAGTATGTTTGAAGTTAATTTCCCGTCCTCTACCTTGCGTTATTATTTTGTTTTAGAGCGTTGTATTGACTAACATTGTAAATAAATATTTGTTGCTTTCTTTCTTCAAGTTAAATGGGAATTCCAATGCTCAGATCTGTCCAGTAAATATAAAGCTACAAACAGCCAGTTAGCTTAGCTTAGCACAAAGACAGGAAGGCAACAGCTAACATGACTCTGTCTTAAGATAATAACATCCGTTTGTTGTATCTGAATGAAAACCAAAGTCTACAAAACATTTATGTCTTATATTACATTACATATTATTTCTTCAAGTGTAAATTACATATATTTGGAGGTCTATATATAATATATATCCAATCTTTGTGCTATGCTAAGCTAACCAGTTAACATGTTTTGTAGTAATACTTGCTATTCTTTGCTGTTTTTTTATTGTAAAAAAAACCTGTAAACGCCTTTAGGAAACCCTGCGTGCCAAAATCGAAATGTTCTTCCTGCAACCAACCCTGACTAAGCTTCACGCACCTTCATTGGGCATCAAGTCCAAGTCTGTGGTGTCCTTTTTGACCGTTGCCTTGTGGACCCCGGTATAGTACATGACTGCCACCTGGCTGTGCAGGATGAGCTTTCGTTCCTCTGAGCTGCTGTTTCGCAAAGTAATTTTAAGCTCTGCGTCTTCTCCCATTTTAGGACCTACACCATCCATGGTGACTTCTACAGAGACATCCTGTGACTTGGTATAGGTATAGGCCTCCGCTTTGGAGCCATAGCTACATGCTGTCTCCACAGCAATACGTTCCATCTCTGTGCCTGAGAATGACCAAATAATTCAATTAATTCAATAGACAATTAATGCAGTATTATAACCTTGGTGAAATTATTTTTGACAAAGGATTTATATTCTTTACATTGAGTACTTTATCTCTTTTAAATAAGCTTTTTAGTGTGTGCATTTAGTTTGATGTTACCTTCGGGGTGTTTGTAAAGGTGTGTGATCTCCATGCGTTCATCAGTACCAACAGCCTTTGTGCTGATGAAGTGGCCCACAACCTTTTTCTCACTATAGATTTGACTGAAGGTCCCATCTGTGTTCTTCTGCCAGTAGATTTTATCGCTATTCACCTGAAAGCAGACAGAGCACGAGGAAGAGAGAGAGAGACAAAATAAAGCCTTGAACAGATGGGAAACGTCATGCAGCGTTTTGATGTATGTCATATGGCTTATGATAGCTACACAGTACATGCATAATCTGCAGTGTTGGGCAAGTTACTTCCAAAATGTAATAAAGTACATATGACTTATTACTGTCTTTTTTAAGTAATAAGTTACATTACAATATTACTGTCTCTGAATTGTAATGAGTTACACTACTTTTATATTACTTTTGAGTTACTTTACCAAAATAACCGCAAAAGAATGGCTAGGTATTTTAAATGCTAAAATGTAGTTTAGTGCAGCTCATTATACATCCAGTGAAGGGCAATGTGGTATAGCATAACAACTGTGTAACACATTTTTTTACACGGCTTAGTTGAATACTCAATTCTGATTGTAAATTCTTAACATGTGACACGTTGTTAATACAGTAGTACAGACCACTGTCAAGGACTATAATGAAGGTTGCTAAGGAGGATCAAGAAAGAGAAAGGAAAAGAGGTTAAAAGCCCTCAGCCTGTTTTTCAGGTCTCAGGCTCGAAAATGACATTCCCAGAACAAATGACTATATCTTCACTTCTAAAAGGGGTAAATTAATAATATTTTTTCTCAAAGCAATGATAAACCTGTGAGTTGGATGTAGAAAAGTCAGAATCAATATAGATTTTTTTTATTTTAAAGTAAATTCAGATTGAACATAGTAAAAAAATGTAAATTATAATGTCCGTCCGTTTATTGCCATTGAACACAACTTTTGATCAGAAAACAGCAAAGGTAAGAGTTATTTGCCGTTTTGGCTACGTAAAGTTGAGTTGTGTGTTGTCTTTGCTGGCTTTCGCTGCCGCGAGTTTTGGTCGCTCAGTGATGATACTTATACCATTGGAATCTGTGGAATCTCAGCTTTCAGATGATATATTGTTTGTGCAGATCCGATGAAGTATAAAAGATCGCTAACGTGAGTTATGTGCTAAGTGCGTTAGCATTCTTTCGTTTAGTGCTAATTCAGAGGCTCGGCGTTAGACTTGTGTTTTGTTTCGGTAAAAATGGTTCATATCGTCAGGTAGCTGAGTTTCTTCCCGTTAAGTGGGTATGACACATTCATAGTTTGTTAAATGTTAAGAAGCCCTCAGACGCTGTTTCTTGCAAGATGTTGTGGGAGCCGGGTTTAACAGGTTAAAAGACGGAGCGCTGGACGTCAGATAAATCACCAGAAGTAAACAATAACAGGAACACGGAATGGGCTCTGTAGTTTGTTTAGTATATGGCCGTGTAATAAGCGGGATAATGTGCAGCGAGGCGGTCATTATGGGGAAAAGAACACCCGACAGGCTGATCAGGGAAACCGACGCGAAGCGGAGGGATCTTGATGAGCCTGAAGGGTAAATACCAGGCTTAGAAATCTACCCGCACAATTTTTCTCTGGTGTCTGAATGTCTCGCGATGTTGGTAAATTCTTAAAAAACAAAACACCATTTAATTTCGGGTTAAAATGTGTTGTAACTGCGTTACTGAGAATTGTAAAGGGTAGTATATTACCCAAATTTAATTATATTTGTTTACAGCAAAAGGTTATACATTACAGTAACTCCGTTACTTTTGTAATGCGTTACACCCTACACTGATAATCTGTCAACATGAAACAACAACTGAAATATCAGATGTTTAACCTACAGCACTCATGTAGGTTAAGTATGTTAGGGAAAACTGAACTTTATGGAAGTGCAGACAGAATATCTAGGGTGCTCCTCTAGAAATGAGTGGCATCTAGCTCTGAGGTTGCAGATTGTAACCAACTAAATACCCCTTAAAATGGGTCGGTGAACCTACGATGGCCTTCAGGTAACGTAAAACACGAAAAGCCCTCTCTGAGGCCAGTGTTTGGTTCGTCCATTCTGGGTAACTAAACATGGTGCTGCAACATGACAGACTCTGGAAAAGGGATCTACTATCTAGAGGCGAAGGGCTCATTTTAAGCCAATGAAAAACACACCTATTCTTAGTTCCAGGTGAATTAACACTAATGAACACATAATCAGGAATATAATATTTCCCATCTATTAATAAATCCCCCTTAATCCTACACACTGCTCCCAAAGTAAAAAACATATTCCACAAACCTCAGCGAACACAAATGGGATGTCATGTTTCAGGTAGACCTGTCCATTGCGTACTGCAGTGAGAGACGCCGGGCCGCAGCGGAAGGTGCCCTGGCTCGTCTCCTGAGGCGTGGCGTCCACAGCTTGCCAGCCTCCGTTGCCTGCAGGCAAGTCTGGACGCGCCATCCAGGCATCGTTCCACACATGGAAGTTCCTTCATAAAAATACTTAAAGGTCAGGCTTCATAAATCTACATTTGGGTAATTTTATAAAAATAACTTTTGTCGTATTTGTTGGAACTGGCACTGAGTTCATGAGACAGATCTTAGAAATAATCAGGTTCCTTTCTACCGTAGAGGGCGCTGCTCATGGGCTCCTATCAAACTGTCAAAAAAGGCAGTGTTGATCAAATATGATGTAACTGCATTGCCTATGTTCTTGCCTAAAATGTTTAGCAATTTATGATTTGAAAGATAGCTGTAAAATAAGACATTTTGGTTACAGCACGTTGGCGGTGCCTAGTTTTCACTTGACTGTTTCCAACATGTGGGGTACAAACTTTCATTTACAGCTTTACAATACACTTTGTGGCAACATTTAACAAGTAAGAAATAAACGATATAGAAACCTTGTTTTGATATTGGATCAGCAGTTTGCCATTTAGATCGGAGTTCACGACATTGAGAAACAGACTCATTGGTCCTGTTTGTTGATTTAATTTGACACAGTGGAATCTTACAATTACCATAAACATTTTTAGTAACATTGTGGAAGGGGGAATGACGTTTTTTTTACAGATTATTTGTCACTTGCTCTAGTGTCAAGATATTGTTTTAGCAAATATCACAAAAAATTACTTCTAAGAAAAGGTTACCAAGTGCTGGTTTAAACTACAGAGTGAAACATGCCATGATGGCATCACAGTGATGGTGACAGGACATACCAGATAGAGTCAGCATTGAGGAGCTCCATAGGCTCCAGGTTCTCGTCTAGGTATACGTCTGTTGTCAAGGAGACGTCTGTGTCATGAGCTGAGCTGAAGTTGGTCACAGTTCGACCGGGAATGCCTAAACAGCGTAAGACTGAAAATATACAGCACCAGTCGTCAATATCTGTTTGAATCTCCCTGTTACACACATACACAAACACATGTCTCATGAAATTGTGAAAGGAAAAGAAAAACTGTCCGCTCACCTGTGGTGAATACTCCAGCAAAGACCCAGCACTGGCCATACTTAACAGGCTTTCCGTCGTTTTTATGATATTCCTTCAGGATTTCCACACTTCCACTCCAAACTGTTGGACTAGTCCCAGCCGAATAGTTTCCGGACCAGTCTCCTTCCACGACACCTAGGTCATCTGGGGAGTTGATCTGGATAAGTGAAATAAATAAATATATTTTTAAACCAAGTTTTCTATTTGGCAGGAACATGAACACAGTAACACTTCAGATTGTTTGGTACCACTTTACAATAAGACTACCCTTATAAAGGGTTTACGAATAGTTTGTAATACATTTATTAATTAGGTTGTGAACACTTTATAAATCATGAATATGCTTTTATAAGACATGAGATAAACAAGGCAACTGTGACCGGTTGCTTGCCAAATAGTGAGCCCACATTTATCTGTACTGCTAAGTCTTATATTGGCTACTTAGCTTACTTCGTCTTCTTCATCAGCCAGCATCCTTGGTATCTGTTGTTCACCGAGTTGATTCTCGCTAAGTAGCCAATATAAGGCATCTTGCTAAATAGTGAGCCTGTGGTGATCTATGTTAGAACTGGTTTATAAATGGTTCTTAATGATTAATAAATTGTTTACAACCTAATTCATAACCTAATTATAAACCCTTTATGAATCCTTTATAAGGGTAGTCTTATTGTAAAGTGGTACCGATTGTTTTAATATATTATCAGCTTAAATATATTATCAGCTTAAACTTGGATACATTAACGTAATAATATATATATTTTACTTTCACATAAATTGAAATGCCAATCGAAAGAAAAAAAGAATCTGCAATTGTTTTTGAAATAAATGTATCTTTTAAAGTAATTTTTCATGCAAAAAAATATCAGACAATGTTGTTTTCTGCCTATCAAATATGACATTTAAAGAAAATGTTTTTTAGTCCAAATTCATAGCACAACTCATGTCAATACATCCAATAGATGTTGAGACATTTCACATAAAATCTGAAGTGTCAAATTGGAAAAGTCAGGCGATTGACAATCAATGGGATGTATCCTCTGGGGGGAACATGAATGCATTAGGCATTCAAAGATTTGTTCTTAACATTGCAGAAGACCTTTCTGTACAAACTGTCCGCATTAATTAAAACAAATATTTAAATCTGGCTTAGGCCCTAGGATGCCGGTATCCTGCTAAAACCGTGATGTGATGTGTGGAAATTGTTATCATGGCCAAGACTTTTTTTCAATAGTTAAAAAGAGTAAACGCAGTCTCACCATGGCTGAGACCACTCGCACCACATTAATCGGGTCTCCCCACCCTGACGGAGGAGTTCCACTCTTTTCCAGGACAAAGATACAAGCAGCAAGAATCCCATCTTGGAACTGAAAGCGAAACAGAGAGCAATTAGGTTTCTACTGCTTAGTCTATTAACAAAACACTTAAAGATCGAACAACCCCCTCACCTGTCCATAGTCCCAGGTCCGCACTCCAATTTGATCCATGGTGCCATAGTAGATTTTTCCGATATCATTCAGGACATATTCCTGCCTCTCGTCTTCAGCATCCATGAACACTGTGTCATCTGACAGTGAACAAGTACAAAGTATCAATAACTTTAGATTTTTGTATACATCTCACCATTTTATATGATTTTTAAATGTAACTTAGAAATTTAAACTAGAACAAAAAGCACTTAGGAGAGTGCAGATCTACTGTAAGAGAGGCTTTTCTTTAGTCTAGCCATTTGCCAGCAGTCATTGACTGAACAAGAAAATAGAGATGCCAACATGTAGTCATAAATGTGCACAAAAGAATGATTGGCAGACAGGTCCAGTATTCACGATAATGTGTAGACAATCAGAGAGTAGACATTTCTTAAAAAATGAACACTGTTGTAGCCATGTCAAGATCAAAAGCCTGACAGGGGAATTTATTGAGGCTGAAATTGTCCTATTATGTATTTCAGAGTACATGGCATAAAAAAACCTTTTGTTCTTCTTGGTTGGGTTTTTTCTTAGAGGAATAGTTAGACATATTGGGAACGTAGAGGTATTTGCTTTCATATGAATAGTGAGATGAGAAGATTATGGTCTGTCTGTCTGTCTGTTAAATACACTGAAAAAACAGAAACGTTGACTTTAATTAAATGTATTATGACATCATATTTCACATAACTGTATTAGGTTAGTTGAAAGCAATAATATTACGTTTATATAGGTTCAACTTAATATTATTAACTATCCTATTAGCATAGCTTAGTATAAAGACTTAAACTGGGAAACAACTAGCCCAGCATTTCACAAAATCAACCAATAAGCACCTCTTAAACAAACTAAATAACATTGTATACCTTTACTTCATGGTTATATGACTGTATTGTAATGTCTTTCTGTTAGTTTTACTACCCTTTGTAGTATATTAACCTGACAAACGTATACCATGTGTGTCTTAGATGCTTTATTTTTGTAATCCCATATTTACCTTCACACCAGGGGTTGAACAGCAGAAGGATATCATTAGCAGGGTCATGTGTAGAAACTGCCTGGCCGTTTGCACAATGCGTCTCCACTATGATTTGATATCGGCCAATGAGCGCCGTGGGGAGAGAATTCACAGACAGCTTCATCCTTTTGTCGTCCTGACTCACAATAGAAGCCTCCCAACGATTGCCCTCCAACTCCTCCACCAAAGGGATGATTACATGGGTTCCTTTTGACACTGTTGGCAGCGGCCCTGAGAAAGGAAAAGAAGACATGTCGATGAAGCATGTGGAAACTATGTTCATGCCATGCCCAAAAAAAAACGTTTTTCTTCATCTTAACCACACCTGCATTCCTACCTTGTTAGGTAAACAGAGTGTATACAAAGATTCCAGATGAGCTTCATGATAAGATATGCATAAGCACACATACACGCACACATAAACGTTATAATAGCAGTGCAGCTGTACTACAAAAAGTTATCCTTGGCAGCAGTTTGCTGTTTGGCTGCAGTTCCTGCACTGGCATGAACAATGCTAATGTTCAAGGCGGGGATCTGCATCCTGGGTTTCAAGAGAAACACTAAAATCTTTAATGGGCCCTCTGTTTAAGAAATTCACCTCTAAAGGGAGTGTGGAAAACTCACAACTCTCCCTGATTGTTAACTCTTTCCTCACTGGGTGTGGCCTTGGTCTTTTTTGGCTTACACATGTCTTATGTCACTATGATGCAATTTCAAGATTTCTTTTGTACAGACTGACAACTGGTTGTGTGTGAAAATAGGAATCTGCAGCTGCCTTGAAGGAAAGGAATGAAACAACCAGTGGCGGCCGGTCCATAGGGGCGCTAGGGGCGCCGCCCCACCTCTTCCCATATTGAAAAAAATAAAAATAAATAATAATTAAAATTAAAATAAAAAAAAATAAATATGTTTAAAAAAATATATATGTTTTTATTTTTATTTTTAATGAACAAGGTAAATATTATATAATTGGTATCAGTAAAATGTATAATCTACAATAAAATCTCGTTTAAAATTGTGTTACGATGTCTAAAGTTACTGATAAATCACATGTTTCCTGCCTGGCCTTGCCCATGCACCTTCTCTCGTCTGGGCGCTAAGAGAGGAGCCTTCAACCAGTGCAGCAGCAGCCACCAGCAGCTGACTGTTGCTATCTGTAACGTGTAAACTATGCCGCGAAAATATAATTTCAGCCAATCAGCGTCGTCAAAGATGACGGTCACCGGGCGCCAATGTCAGCGCCCAGTGCAGTCTGTGAGTAGTTTGGACAGTGACTCGTATCCGGTTGACGCAGTAGTTGATGAGGATGGCTTCGTGTGCAGGTGGAGTCTCCGGACCTCGGTCCGCGCCTAATTCTGTTCAAGAGCTAATCTCCAATCCTTTCGAAAGGAGAAGTTTGGCAGATAAATTGTTGCTTAAAGACCTTGCACCGGACCAACCCGATTTGAATATATCGCAGCAATCTCGTGAAAAAGACAACATTTATACACGAGGCTTCACAAGTAGCTGGTACACAAGAAAGGCTTGGCTAGCTGGATGCAAACAGGTAAATGCTGTCTTTTGTTTCCCATGCTTGGATATCACTTTATATGTAGAGAGGAGGTTTCCCATGGTTGTTAGAAGTTTATTAATAAGTGGGCATTTATCACAGAAGTGATTGTTCTGTCTCCACGTTTGTTGCATTGTCTGTGATGTATTTTCCAACGGTTATAGCTCCTGTTCTGTCCCAGCAACACTACACGGTTTGCAGCTCCACCACATTTTTGGTTTATCTTCGGTGTCGCTTAAAATCTGCTTCCCATCGGACTAAAACCTCCACGTAATCTGAAGACAGATACTTGAAGTTATTTAAACCTTTTGCAAACTTTATGTTCTTTCTTGCTCTAGCCTTGCCAGTTACATTGTACATAACACATATATTATCATTATGCTAACTGGTTGTTCGTGTTAGACGATGTAGCTTTTTCATTTCTGAGTTATTGCTATATGTAAATAAGCCTGTTTGTAAATAATCCTCAGAGAAACAAAGAAAAAACACAATTTATGACATTTTGTGCTGTGGTTATTTTTTTTAAATTGCATTTATTCACAGTTCAGTTTGAAATGCTGTAGTGACTTGTATTGAACCACTTAAATATTTATAATTAATGCTACTGAAAAGATGCTATTAATTTTATATCTCACATGCAGTTCACTGTAAAGCTACTTGGTGAAGGTGTTTTAAGAAAGAAAAAAACAGACCAGTTCTGAGAACACAAATTCCTGGTAAAGTAGTAGATGTTCAGGTTGATAAATAATATTTTCCACACTGAAGATTATGGAGGTATTGATCAGTCTTCTCATATTTTTAAGCCTCGATTTCTCCTTTCCCCCCCCCTCTAACATCACCAGAAGTCATCATTTAAGGGGTCATTTCTCGGACCCCCCGGGTAGGTCACTTACGGTACGTCAAGAGCCCCACCAAAAAAAAAGACCACCGGCCGCCACTGGAAACAACCATTGTAAAACTGTGAATCACTGTGGTACTTTTGTTGCCGATTTGTGCATAAGCAATATCAAAATAATAGCAACGTTTCCATGAACTTTATACTGAGTACATCCCATAGAGGGTGAACCCAAAGGATGTGTGAAGACCTGCAGATAGTTTTTCATAATTGAATGGAGGCTGTCTGTGCAGCAGGGGTGCAAAGGCACGGGTAACAACGCAGGGGGCTCCAACAGCCTGAATTCCTGCTTGAAGCAATACTGAAGCAACTCTTGCATGGAGTTTGATGACAAGTTTGATGCCATTGTCAGATCTCAGCATATACTGCAAATATATGGCTACAGTCAGCAAGGACATAACTGCTCCGGACTTGAAATGGTCAGGCCCATTAGCACCCCGTTATTCACGCTCCCAGGGGGATGCATCTTTTGTTTCTACTGACATTAGGGCCTTTACCCCCTCAGGAACAGCATAACATTCTCAGCCCTGCAACAGGAAAGTATTTAGGAACAGCTGTGTTCAATCTGCCCCACACTTTCATTTTGTGAGGTATTATACAATTGAAGCCTTTCTGAGCCGTTATGAGGGGCTTCAGGGCATTAAACTGTCACTGGCTCTCACTTCAATAAAGAAAAAAACACTCACGTTGTTTTAGATTGGGCTGTGATTTGGTTCATGGGTACGTGGTACCTGTCACAGAATACAGTGATTGGACTACAGGGTACTGTAAGCACGTTCGAACACCCTTTGAACTGAGATACTCCAGAGATAGCCTTTTCCCTTTGAAACAGTCTTTTTGTATTAAATAACCACCATTTGATGAATGATGTTTTTATGTTTGTACATTTTGCATTGTCTTCTTTCTTATTGCTGGTATGGCAGATGGCTTTAAACTGATTGGATGATTATTCATGAGCAGCGTTGTATTTCTTCTTATGACATGACACTTAATTTGTCCCAGGCTGAGGACTTTTCCTTTTACCGCTGCTTCTAATGAAACAAAAATAACTGAACATCTTTTACACGGCACTGTCATTTCTATTCTTGTATTTTATACCCATTTTATTCTCTTCGCTTTTTAAATGTTTTTTAAAATATAATTGTATAATGTTTTTCCACTGCACTCGATCTTATTGCTCTTAACATTTAGCATTTTTTAAAGCACTTTGAATTGCCTTGTGTTGAAAGGTACTATTTAAACAGACTTGGCTTGCCTTGCAACAATAGCTTATAAAAAAACGTTGATACAAATTAGAATAAATAACTGCCATTATTTTGGATACTTTATTAGCAAACAAAGCTACCATTCTTTAAACCTTGCATGTTTCCTCAGTGTTAAGGAATGTATGGGGTAAAATATGATTTCCTCACATGGATTCACAGTCTCTGTAAATGAGACGGGGTAATTCTTCTCTGCAAGCTTCACTTGTGTTATATCTATAATTATAGGATCTATATTGGTCTGCATCCTCCCAACATAAAGACATGGAGAGAGACAGCAGAGACAGAGGCAGTTGGTGTGCCAGCATCAATGGTAAATTGTCTGCAGACTGGATTTTTAGTTAGAGCAAGACTGAGGACTCGGCATTCGTAAAAAAAAACTCTCTCCCCCGGAGCATAGCAACTGTTACCATAGCAATAGTAACCAAAAATCTCTCACTCCCTCTCACTCTCCCTCCCTCCTAATCTATCCATCTCACACACAAATGCTACACAATCTGAATACACACACAAGGAGCCAAATTACCGGTTTAAACCTCAAACTTCTTGCTTCATTTAGTTTCCTCCTGGAGCTCTAAAACCGTCACCATCCTCTTTACGCTTTGACTGCCTAAAGAGGGAGGTCTTAATTATCATGTGCAGCTCGGCAGAGGTTTCCACGAGGGTCAGGCTGGACTGCCTCCATCCAGTTTCACACTTGGCCTTCCTAGATCAGATGCCATTCATGTGGGAAATCTATATCTAGCTAATTAGTATTCATAACTGTTGCTGTATAAAATGGACTCGTGTATTTTGTTGATGGGGAAGTCTATCTTTACATTTTCTTATTTCTTTGTATAACCATAAAACAAAGGACACTTTAAGTGTCGTAAAAGTGAACTACAGTGTTCAAATCTCCGATTAGCAAACAGTACATGATTTCTTTCCAGAACGCGGACTAACCTGTTTTAAGATCGAGGTGAAGTTTGTCAGTGCTGGGGTCAAAGGGTCGAGACAGAGTAATCCACATATGGAAATTCTGTCCTCTGCGAATAATAAAGGCATCACTTTGGTAGAGGTCGGTGTGGTGCTGTGTGCGGTTCTCCCCTGATTTGCCTTTCATCAGGTCTATTGATTTCACATTGAGGAGGAGTTCTGCAAAACAAGAACAGTTATTTAAGAGTGGAGTCCATCTCACTGCTGGTATTTACTTTGTTTGATAAATAAGTTACCATCAAGCTCGCTGTCACCAGCAACAGGCTTCTTATCGTCCGTCACTTCCTCCAGGTCATCAGTTACTGTAATCAAAGTGTCTGTAATGTCGACGTCATCTGGCTGGGGACAGCAGCACGGGCAGATTTTACGCAGCCACTTCCGGCCTGCATTTCCCTGCTCAGCATTGTCTTCCTCTGAGGCTTCCTTTTCTTCCTCTGTGTCCTCCCCAAATCCAAACGTGACAGTAGGAAACCGACCCACTGCAGACCGGTCTCTGATTGATCGCGTCGATACAGGCATCCTGAGAAAAAGGTAAAACACAATGAGGAAATCTAAAGCTTTGTCATTGAATATGCATCCATTTCATTAAGGACAACACCACATATGAGTGAAGGGGTAACCACTTACTACTCCTTGTATTTTTGACAGATTACAGATATGATAGATTATTAGAAATAAGGGTTTTGTTTGTTATCCAATCTGGATTTCTTCTTGTATTTATCAAATTGGTGATTTATTGTGTTTTTTTTTTCTAGTATACATTAGCAAGTGCAGTATTACCCCGAAGTACCCCAGGTTGGGAATCATTGATCTTTTTAGAGACACAGAAAATATGTATTTGTATTCAAGTATTGTTATAGTGTCATATTAATATCCCTCATCTGTTCATTTAACTAAAAGGTATTGATACAAATAAATACGTAAAACTGAAATGACTGGTCTGACATGATAATTATGTAACAGTGTGATTTGAATGATAAAGATTACTTGTTCAGTACGAACAACACATAAATAGTCATTTATCCACTATTTTTGCTGCTAAACAGAGAACAAATCATACAACTATGCTTATTTGTTTATTTGATCTGCGTACACACAGATAATAATCCCTAATGGCATTAGACAGAAAGGCTTCTTTCTCTCATGATTAATCCTGAGCTGATTCACTAATTCTTAATATTACATTATCTGATTTATTAAATTAGTGAAAGCCTCCTGGGGGTGAGAATGTGCTTTGATCCACAACTGTGCCATTAAACAAATATAATTTCTGTGTTTAACGATCAAAACACTATGCCTTGCCACCAAAGATAACAGTCACATTTCTTTGAAGAATCTGCACATGAATTCTGCTAAACTTCACGGCACGGTGATTCAAATTCAACCTATTGCCATCTCCCTCCACCCATTTTCCTGAGCCTTAGCTCACTTCCTTCTGATTTGACTTTCTAGCAGAAATTATAGCTTCTAGAAAAAGCTACAAAGCCACTGAAACCTTTCAAAAACTCACTTTAGATTCCCTAGCTTGGCAACAGTGATTGTTATGTGGTGACCAAACAGACTCCGATGAAGCAATAGTGGGACTGTCAATGACTTCACTCTTTATTCTTATGCAAATGAAGTTAAGACAGAACACTAAATCCCAGACAGACTTGTAGGTGTGGGAGCGCCTCCTCCTCCTGCAGCTCAGGATAGTGCGTCATATTTACAGACGAGCCCAGAAGAAGCTTAACAAAACAATGTGCATAAAGTAAATCCATAACAACCCGATAAACACGCCAAATACATCGTGTGTTCGTTCGCATGTTTCAGCTTTGGGTAGTTTCTTCTTTCAGAGCAGCACAATGTTACATTTCACATTGTTGATTTTGCTATCATGGATTTTAAAAACTCTTCACACTGTGAGCAAAACTAAAGTCCATGTGGACCAAACTGTGAATTATTTTTTAACTGCTTTCACACAAAACACATTTTCACACAAAACACAATTTTCGTAAAACCATGAACTCTTTTCCAATTCATACTTAACAACCGCAAAAGGCTATATATTTGCAGCACATTTTCCAAGTGATCACACACATTGCCAAATACGTTTAAATCTGAAATTGGCGTAAACCATATCGGAACAATAAAACATCTAATTATATTGTAATTACAACAACATTTACTACAGTAATCATAGTAATCAATCACAGCTGATTTTAGGTTAATCTGGAAGTTAAGGTGTGGCCAAATGCAGGAAAGAGGGAGGACCGAAACCTCAAAGAACTGTAATGTGTGAGGTAATACTAAACGTGTCGTCATTGTTTAGTATGTCAATGTCAACTATTATATTATTATATATATATATTATATTCCGTTAGTTAAACACAGTTTGCTAACTCCAAATTGCATTCAATAAAGCAGATGGGACAGGGACTTTTATACTCTCATGCATTTTCATCTGCAAGTCTCCACATAGATTTTGGAAACCTCAGTGGGTGGGTGAAAGTTTACTGCAGGGTGGGACCTCCCAAACTGCTTAAGTAAATGATGATGAAATCCACCGCAGCACCTGCCTCAGTGCCAAAAGATATAATGTGGGTAGAGGAGGAAGAATGTGTGGAATTGAGGTCCATATGTTTGAGGTTACACTTAGATTGCAAAAACAGAGATCAACAAAACCTTCTCACTGCATCCAATAATGGGATAAATTAACTATGAAATGTTTGCAATGCACTGTAAACTAACACAGTGAGACGAGGAGATACCAAGCTGCGCAGAAATTAGAGCGACATGTTGTGGACGATAAGACGACCCACAGCTGAACCTGCTAATGATATGAGATTTATCGCTTCATCATCCTACGTGTTACATTCAAACTACTCAGAGACGACTTCCTTCTGGACCTGGCACATGTTTGGGTGCCTGCATGTGCAGATGGGGCAATTCTGATCAAATATTAAATAAAGTAGGTCTTAGGTCACTCCCATGATTTTAGCAGCAGAAAATACCAATGTGCTATTCATCGCTGGTTAACATTTTCCTCCAGGAGGGTGGTGATCCAGTAAGCATCCCTCTGCTACACTCATGACCTGATGCAACGGGGCCTTGGGGGTCAGTCATTTCCAACCAAAACAAGGAACACAAAGGGACCTTCTCGTGTGACATCAGAATAAAAGCATTCACAGAGTTCAATTTGAACACAAACCCAGTTGTATTTGAAACTAAGCCAAGTTCATGTGATGTATTCCTTTACACATGAGTCTACTGTTGCGTTAGTATAAGCATGCTTTGCTTTACATGATTAGACATGAACCACAGATTTGTGGCAGATGTTTGACAGCTCTATGTTGCAGGGCGTCACAGCAGATATAATATATTGTATATTGATGTGAGGAAAAACAACCCTTCCAGACACAAAGTGCAAAATAAATGAATAATATTTTACATAGCTGTCTCGTGGAGTTGTAGAGTGAAAGTCTTTTAAATCATGCATGAGATGGCACTCTTTTAGACTATCGTTTGCATAATCTAGACAGCAAAGACGTAATAATGCACATTTAGTTATGACCTGTCTCCTTTTCTTGATATAAAAGCACATTATTTTGGCATTGTATCTGAGAGTAGACTGCTCAGGAGAAAAGTTTGAAAGTAAGTTATTGTTAACAACATAAAGTCATAAATCAAAGACGAGATGGCTGGATATACAGTAGAGAGAGATACCTGTGAAACAACTCGTTCAAACTCACTCAGTTCAGAGGCAGATGAAATGAGACAAAGCAGACTGGAGGAGGAAATCTTCTGTGCGCCGTGTCTTTGTGTTTGACAGACTACGAGTTCAGACAGTTCAGACCTCCTTTAAGTAGTGCTAAGAGAGTGAGGGCACGCCTTCCTGCAGCACCAACAGCAGTCAGATATTTTGCCAAAAGAAACAACTGAAACTGTTACAGTTACAAGAGAGAGTAAAGAGCCGCCTCTTTTGAAATGTAAGTCAAAACTCATTCTAGTGAATATTAGCACACTTTTCCATAATCTGGTTAACAGTTTCTACTTGGGTTTGTGTATTCATGTTGGTAAGGGCACTCTGGAAAACTGTATGCTACCTATCAATGGCTATTCCTAATGATAAAGTATTTCCGACATTATAATAACTATTTACTAATCCATACTAATAAATGACAATTGAATGGATTTTACAATCAAATGCTCATAGCAGGATGGTCAATGTGTTGGCTTCTTTTTTGTGTAGGCCTACTTTAAACATTTCAACAAATAGTGATTCTCTCCATTTTTCTTTTGCAAATAATAAAGTCAAACATTTACCTTGATCATGTGAGGGGGTTAGAAAAGTAAACCATTTATTATTATTAGCAATAGTTTTGGATGCAATCCTAATGAGGCGTGTACACCATTCTCATTTTGAATTTATAGATGTATTCACTCATTTAGTAGTATCTGTAGGCCATATCAGACTATATTCAGGTAATTAAGGTCACTTAGTTCAAAATTCGAAAAGGAGATGAAAAAAGAGGGTTCTATATATCTAAATATTAAATCATATACTGTAGGCGTTTTTCTTAGAAGAAAGTATGACTCCGCTCTTTCAGATTTCCCAGTCATGAGTCAGCCAGCATGCACAATACCAGGACTAAAGCATCTGAATGGAATTCAGCCATAATTGATTTTCATCACACCTGCTTTTCATACTCAGATTGTTCCAAAATGTCTACACTAACAAATGATCGCTTGCCCACTCACCGTGTGGGAGGGTCCACTCCTTGTTCTTAGCAAGGTCTGACACAGAGTGATGCAAGATGATGACGGAGTTATCCACATGGACTGGTTAAGTTGGTTTTCTCTGAGTTTCTCAACTTTGTGATTGTGCAACTCCGGCAGTGGCTCAGTCAGTAGGGGGCTTGGACTGGGAGCTGTAGGGTCTCCGGTTCAAGTCCCCGACCAGACGTGTTCCGTGCCAAGGCATCGGACATCCCCCTTCCCCCCCCCACTCCCATTGCTCCCCGGGCGCTGTGCAATAGCTGCCCACTGCTCCTAGTACTAGACTCCTGGTACTAGGATGGGTTAAAAGCAGAGAACAAATGTCACTGTGTGTGCTGTGTGCTCTGTGTGTGTGACCATTAAAGAGGGGTTCATCCCTCCAATTCCAATTCTGATTATATTGCAACATTTAGAGGGAATAGCAAGTGTACAGTCCAGTATTACACAAATACTCCTATGTCATTGTACAGGAAAATAATCAACAAAAGGAAGGACTTTAGACCTTCTACCAGAGACCTCACTGTACATATTTTACCTGTTTATTTCTCTTAAAAAGCATACATTGATCCGTTTTTAACTGTGACTCTTTGATGAGCAGTTTACACTTTTACAGATATTCATGGTACGCAGAGGATAAAAGCCTACTGACTTTGGTGACCCACAGTCATGTCCTTTAGCACTGCCATCAGGTTGATATGTCCAGTTTTAAGTCAAGTGTTGTAACTACTACAGAGTGGATTACCATGCAATTTGCTACTGACAGTCATGTTTAATCAGGATGAATTGTATTTTCTTTGATGATCCAGTTTTCCTTCTAGTTCCACCATGAGGTTGCAATAGCTCTTAACATTCACCATGGTTTTTAAATAAATACTTGCACAATGAATGAACCCGCAACAAGTTGCAGTATTTTTCAAATTTGATTAAGTTTGCTTGTTTTGGTTCACACGCTCCCATAGGACAATTTCTGACTGAAGGATCTGCTTAGGCAACCTTTCGCATCAGAGTAAAACAAACATCAATCGATACGGAAGATTAATCAAATGAAAAAGGTCAACAATTTTTTCACACCTCATGTGTGAATGGCTTGGGGGATAAAGGTGGAAGGTCTGTGCATCAGATATTACATTTTCTCTGATAACAGAAAATAATACAAAGAAGCTTTTTGGAAGGCAGTGACACAATGTGTGCAGATTTATTACTGGATCTGTGACTTACACTGTGCAACAGTATAGTGTCATATATGAAATGCTTTACACAACCCTTCAAAAAATGTGTGAGAACTATGCGATGCGGTGATAATTAGTAACACGCATATTTTTCTTATATAACCATTTGTAAGCTTATAGAAGCAATAAGCCAGCATTGCTGCATGCCAATCCATATAAACTCAATTTACTCCATGATGAGGGTTACTGCATGCATTGGTTCTGTTGTAATAAGGATATCCATACGCACGCACATAGAAATGCAACATTGGTTAATACGCACTTACCCAATCAGTCACACTGACAGATCTAGACATATTGTTTGACGTGTTTGAACGGAAGTTTTTGAAGAGAGAGGCAGGTTCCCAGCGTGTCTACAACCAGTTTCAAGTGAAGGCTCAATTAGTGGTTGTGAAATACTATTACATTCCTTTTGAAAATAAGATCACATAAAATTGCCTAAATGTGTGATTTAGTTAAACGGATAGTTCAGAGATACAGTAGTTTTACTGTTTCCCCCCGTACCCAGAGTCAGAAACGAATAAATGCTTTATGACCTTCTTATGTATTTGATGTAGTTTAAAATGTTTGTCCAACAGACATATCGGGCTGTTTTGGCTCAATTGTTAAGTGTCTATTGGCTCAGATAACGTAATCATTATCTCATATGCATGCAGGAATTGAGTGTAACTAAGGTGGGGTGAGGGGCTGCCTTTTTCCAAGCTTTGTCTGGACACAGTCTCAGACTTTGAAAACGTTTGTGTTAGAGGTTTCTGACTTCTGCCCAGAGGCATCAGGCTTCAGAGCCTCAGGGATCAGGGTGATTGACAGTCTCCCGAAACGAGGGGAACAAACAGAGTCACAAGACATACGAAAAACACCCACTTTCTCTTTCACAAACAAACAGAGGGACATTTGAACGGCGGCGCTGATGGTGATGGCAGTGAGTCCTGCCCCCGTCTGATCAGAGCAGGAGGTCTGTGACTGAGGGCAGCAGCTCTGCCAGCTTCGACTCCACGTCGGCCGTCTGAGTTACAGGGTTGCCACGGAGATCAAGGCGCTTTAGCTTGGGGCAGGAGGCCAGCGGCTGAAGATCTGACAATGAAGAGATTTCTGTGCATGTGGGTTAAAGAAAAAACATTCCTGTGGGCTGCAGTGAAGAGAAAGAGATAGGGCGTACATTTTCCAAACACTGAGATCCACATGTCAAATATGACACTGGTATATTAATTAATTATTCTAAATATAAAACCTGGAGGCCTACATTTGCATCAGATAATAGGCACTGGTTACAAAACCAGATCTTGAGTGTCGCCTCAGTGTCACAACCTGTATACTGCATTAATTCCTCTCGAGTGTATCAGAGGAAGTGAAGCGTGAAGGAGAAGAAGGTGCGGGTGAGGATGTGCTGCTAATGTGTCTCTCCCCGTTTTAATGATGCCGTAAGCTCTGTGAAATGATTGCACTGATTTTATTTACCCGATCGCCATGTGAAAACAAATTATTCATGCATTGAAACGGAAGAGCCTGCAATTTTCTGAACTTAGGAAACTCCATCCTTGAGTGTAGTGTTTTACGTGGCACTATTCACACAACCTCAGCTGCTCGCACTCTCTACCAAGCTGTTTTTCAGCTAAGAGCCGTGCGCTGAGTCAAGTGTACACTATGAGGGGAGTATTATAAATATATATATATAAATATATATAAATATATATATATATATATATATATGGGAGGCTGTGTCTCAGTGGGCTAATGCATTGATCTTCGGATCAGGGGAGCACTGAATCCATAAACATTCATCTGTTTACATCTTACAAATTATTTATCTATATAAATGTCCTATATATGTCCTATATATATATTCATGTTGCATTGTTGGGGGAGCCTGTAACTTAAGTTTTTCATTGCCATATCTACACTGTAGCTACTGTGCACATGACAATAAAGCCTCGAATCACTGGTTCAAACCCCCCTGCAGTCAGCATGTCGTTGTGTCCTTGGGCAAGACCCTTCACCCCCCTCCTGTGGGGATTGCCCACAGTATTGAGTGCATGTACAGTAAGTCACTTTGGGTACAGGCGTCTAACAAGTAACATGTAATGTAATGTATAGCGATATAATATAAATGTATTTCTATGACAGTTATTCTACAGGAATAACACCGATATAGAACAGGATGTTTTCCAGGTAAGATTTAAGGATACTGTTATTCTTCAAGATGATTTCCTCCAGCTTGGGAAGATGATAAACTCCTTCCAGATTTTCTATAGAGTTATTGTCAGCCTCCAAGACCTGAGAGCAAGAACATTTTAGTGAAATATGCTGCAGAATTTAAGTTCTCAGTATGTATCTTTTCAACTGTCAAATAACAATTGTGGGACACACAAAAGACGAAAAGACACACTGCCCGTCTTGGACATATAATAGGTTTTGAATTGGAGCTTTGTCACCTCCAGGCACTGCAACATGGCGAACTGAGGAGGCAGCCGCTGCAACTGATTGGAGGACAGATTGATGTGGGTAACCAATAACAGCTGGTCCAGGTGGCACAAAGTGGTCAGATTCTGTTAGAAACAAAAAGGAAAGAAATGACTAATTATAAGCACTTCACTATTGGCTCATTTTAATTGACTTTTTCACAATTCACCACTAACCTTGTCAGAAATACTGAAGACGCGCACTTCAGCATACTCCATTTTCAGGATGGTGTTTTCAATCATAAACTTGCTGCACAGGTCGCTGTAATATGCAGAGCGCATGGAATCCACTTCCTGAAGAACAAAAAAAAACACTCTAGGTTCATCTCAATGTCCCTCCTCGACTC